GGGGGGAGGGTAGCAGGGGTGGGGGTGACAGCTGATGGGTGGGGTCTTGTCGATCAGGAGTGGAAATGATCTAGAACCAATGCTGACGGGCTGTTCAACTATGGTGTAAGCTAAAAACCAATGTTGTGTGTTTTAAATGGTACATCTTAGGTATGTGATTTAATCTCAGTAAAGCTGCTACTTAAAACATATCCTGGCAAAGCCATCCGCATCCTCGATCACCTTATGAAGCGGCATCTATACTGTCAGCCTCAGACTCTCATGTTCAGGTGTGAGTGGCTCTGTTGGGGCAGCAGGGCAGGTGGCCATTTGGGCTCTCACCCACAAGGTCTCGGGCCATCTCCTGATCCTCCTGGAACCGGCAAGCGTCGCTGAGCTGCAGGAGCGAGTCCACGTGGTAGGGACTTGTCTGCAGCAGTACCTACGAGGCAAGGAGGAGAGCTGACAAGCAACAACGGGAGGAGCAGGCCCCCAGGGAGCACGTCCCCTGCTGGCACTCAGCGGGACCGCTCACTGCAGAGGGTGGGGCTCATGGCCAACAACCCTGCATGCCTCAGTGGAGACAACATAGTGCCTGGCCCAAGGCCCATGATGCGAGTGCACACTGGGGGTCAGGGGGGCCTTGGGGACAAGCTGCCTTTGGCCAGATGACTGCCGACAGGACCTGGCAGGCAGCCCGGTGCACAGAAGCCTGGCTTTGTACCAGGCAACACGCACCACGATGTTGTTGGGCTCCATGGACTCCACGGCAGTCAGGAACTTGTGCTGGGTCTGCTGGTATTCCTCACTGTGCTCAAACGCGAAGGATGACGTGCCTTTCTTGGATTCCAGCAGCCGCATGGACAGACCTGGGGGAGTGCATGTGAACTCCTCTCGGAGCTCTGAGCACACCTGACGCCACATCAGGGTGCCCGCTGTGGCCCCTGCACCACCATACACCCTGCCCTCTCCTTTCCTACAAAGATGCTTCTCCCCCGGGAGTATAAATGCAATGCCCCAGGAGAGCGAGAAGGACTCACATAGGTCCCCCCGCCCTGGCCACCTCACCTGGCCACCGCACACACTCCCTGAGCCCCTCACCTGGTTTGGTGTACCGGGGCCAGGTGCTCTTAGGGGTCGTCAGCCACGTACACTTGGGATACACACGCTGTCTCTGCCGTGGCCTGCGAGGAACAGGAAGTGGGCACAGCTTTACCTTGTGGACCGGCCTGTGCAGGTACCGTGGAAGTAACGCGCAGGGCAGGGAAGGCAGGGGCGAGCGGTGCTGTGACAAGGACAGAATGCAAACTGTATTAACAGCAGAATAAGACCGCTACCAGATGGCACTGGAAACCGTGGCCCAAACCACCAGAGAGAGAGAGACAAACAGGAAATTCACAAAATGGCAAGAAAGGTGAAAAGGAAACGATGAGAGGAGTGACAGCAAGCCTGTAGGCGTCCCAAAGACACAGACAAGCTGCTCGCGCGGACCAAACTGCAGCCCAGTGCTGGCTGTGCAGAGAACAGGAGCAGACCTATTTGGAGTCAGGGGCTCAGCTCCCCCCCTCTCCTGACACCCCACCAATTCAACAATAGGTTTTGACAAGGCAGGAATGGTAACAAGGAAGAGACCTGGCAAAGGAAGGAAGCACTGACACCAACACGTTTCTGGAAACAAGACGGACAGAGGGAAGTGGGCCACAGGGAGGGCAGCCAGGCCCCACAGACCACGAGGTGGACAGCCCTCCCCCGAGGCCAAGTACTTCCAGCTCCATTACCTGGGTCTCCGCTGCAGGAACCAGACCCACCCCTAGGCCGTGGGAACTTGGAGGGGATTCTGTCTGTGAGCAACACTTTGTTTCTTAAGGTGGAGTAAAGGCTCATGGACCTGTGCACATTATTGTCTATCCTTTGTAGGTAATCTGAACTACTGCATTAAGAAAAAAAAATTGAGTAAGACTCTGGGCTGTTATGAACTGAATAGAGAAGAAAGTAAGAACAGAGGATGAATTGCTGAATGACAAAAGCATGGTCACAGTCCAAGGGAAACAAGGACATGGGTGCCTCTGGGTCACTGATGAAAAGGAGAGTTAACTGCACTGTCTGTGGAAGCCCAGGATGAACTGTCCACACAGAGCAGACCAGCAGGAGGCAGCCTGGATGGCCACTGGGAGGCCCCACATCATGACCCAGAAAGAGCAGCGCACAGCATCAGAGACCCCAAGATAACAGCAGACAGTCAGAAACACCCCCCATTCCTTCTTTGAGGAGTGGGAGAATGACGTGGGAGGCAAGGACGGAGCCACAGCTTCTAACAAGGCCCTTTGGTAGGACCTACGTTCTTAAAGAAGTAAATGCAATAGGAAGTAAGGCAACACTATAAACACAACGCACATCATTATTCACTGATTACTATCAGCAAGTACACCTGGCACAGAAATAAGACCAGGCGAAAATGGAGGGAATGGCAGACACCAAGCAGATGCAGGCTGGAGCCAGAGTGGGGAGAGGAGGAATCTAGGTGACGGGAGGGGGCGGGGGCAGGGAGCACTGTGAAGCGCTAGTCTCTCATTGACATCCTGAAAAGAAGATAGTCAGAAACCCTGTCTCCTGAACAACTTAGTGCCAAAAATAAAAGCAAAAGCCTTTAGAAATATATGGAAAGTTGGTAGCAAATGACATGAAAAAAATCTTGAACCTTATTCATGATCAAGGAAATAAAGTCAAAATGTCCAGATGATTTTTTCTCCACATTATGGCAGATTTGAAAACTTCTTACACCTGCTGTGCATGAAGGGAGGTGGCACGCAGCTGCTGGTGAGCTCAGTGGCAGTGGAGAGCGACACACCCAACTCCACCAGGGAAGGTCCTCCCTGGGCCACGCCACCAGGAACACCTGCACAGAGGCAGGGCACGCAGCCAGCTCCCTACCTAGCACCTGCCTGGTACACCAGGGCACGTGGGGCCAGCAGAGCTCTACAGTCCCAGGAGACAAGGTATGTGTGGCAGAGGTTCTAGGAGGGACAGTATACCATCTTCAATGGGGGAGGCTATCAAAGACAATTCTGAATCGCTTTGATTTTTGTAAGAAGCATTTAGTTCTGTTATCAGGAAAAATACGTACTTGAACACACAAAGCCTCTGCAGCCACAGCCAGGACTGGGCTCTGGCGGGGAGTCCACGCCTGCTACAGACAGCCTGCAAACAGACCCTCATGCTCAGAGCATTTCTCACTGTGTCCACTGCAGGCACCAACTTAGGGTTTGTAAAGCCAACAAAGACCAAACTTACCACACAGAACCTAAATCTTCTGTCAGTTTTGCTGCTGAATGATAAGCAAAACTGAACCCGCTGAGCTTTCAGGGCTAGAAACTAAAAATGTAAGTACCTCCCAAAGTTTGAAAAATAGCAACACGTGTGCTAGAGAAGGTAGCTGACAGCCACAGATAGGTCCCCCAGGGCCAGAATCCTACTGTTTTAAGCATCTCCCCCGAGGTCTTTAACCGGCATTGAGAATGCTCCCAAGTCTCCAACTGGGAAGACGGTGGGTGCTGGTCTTACCGTTGCTCCCCAAGGACAGCTCGAGCACCAAAGTACCTTTTCAGTTCTGTATCTGGATTCAGGTGTCTAGGAAAGTGAAAATAATACAAAGAAAAGTGAGTTATTTTATGACAACTCTGGGAACTTTAGAAAGTCATGTAAAAACCCAGCAGGGAGAATAACTCTTCAGACATGAGAGCTCTGGCGATCAGCCGAGCCATCTTCACTGCCATAGGGAACAGACGGCTCTCCCTGTGCTGGCAACAGTCTCGGAAGTAGGGACAGGGTCTCATTTAGTGCCTAGGGACAGGAGGTGGATATGCAGGGCAGGATGGCATCATTCTTTAGCACAGTTCAAGGAAGGAAGTTCCCAGATTCAGAAGGCTGCATGCAAGGGCCCTGGGGACAGGAACCATTTTTCCTTTTCCTCTCTCCTTGCACCTAAATATATGACAATAAACTCATCGCTTTTAAGTAAAGATGGCAATTCTTCCCTCTTTCCGTGGCACCCTTCCTTGACACAGTCAGGGATGAAGGCCACACCTGTGCTCCACATACAGAACGTGCTTCTTGGAGCTCAGGGGAGGCGGGCCTGGCCGGCTTAACCCACTGCCGTCCTCAATCTTCTCCAAGATTCGATCAATATCCTCCAGCCCATTTTCCTAAAAGCCCCAAACAACATGTTAGTCACCACAATGACTTTATTTTAAATGTCATAACCACTAATAACAAAATGATTCATTTTTACAATGAACAGTATTGCACTGTTCTCTCATTCGAATACAGTATAATTTTCAAACACTGTGCACTGCACATGGGTTTAGACGAAATGAGATATGCTTCGTAAGAGAAAGCTCAGAACAGATAACCACTAGAGAGACCCTCGGATAATTAAGTCCCAAGCCCACAGTTCTCATCGTATAGATGCTGGGACTGTCGATCCCACTGAACAGCGACAAAGTCACAAACTCTTTTCAGGACAAACAGAGCCAGAGGAGAACCGGGGCAAGAGGGGAAATCTACTTCCTGCCGACAGGCTGCACGCAGGGGCTGTTTGCCCCTTGTCATCAGATTAGTCTGTCGAGGCTTGGAAAGGTTCAGGACCCGGGGCAGCAGACCTGGAGGGCCTCTGCTACTGAAGAGCATGAATTCGGACGGTCGCTGAGAACAAAGAGCAGAAGGGGTCCTGGCTCTCAAGGAATGGAGCGAGAGCACACTGAAGCGACGTCTGCTGAAGCCCCCCTCTCATGCTCCCAGACCCCTCGATTTGTTATGCTCCCAATGGAAAGAATCCAACTACCAAGTAAAAATGAACTACTTTCAACATCACCTCAAGAAACAGCCAGAAAAGAACAGAGGAAATCAGCCAGACACACATACCGAAGTTTCTCCAGCAGAGTTTTTCTTGTTTTTTTGTTTCTTTTTCTTCTTTCGGAATTTGCAACTTGCATTAAACTAATAGAGAGAGCTTATTTTAATCAATGGAAAAACAACAAAATCTTAAAATCCTGAGAACCAAAGCAGCAAGGAACATGAGGCATGGAAACGGGAACGCAGGCCCGGCACCCCATGCTGAGTGTCCGCTGAGCTCGCCTTCTTCCAGCGCTGCCCCCCACCCCCTGCTACTGGACTCCAGTCTCACCTGTCTCGCTCACACCTTCTCGACCTGACCCAGGGCCATCTACCACCTGCCCTTTGCCTCTGTCTCAGCCGTCAACCACTTCCCCGCCTCACTCAGATCCCCAGAGCCCCCACACCCGTGGTTCTTCTGCCTCAGCACCTCATGCCATCACCCGGTACCCTCTTGCCATCACAATGTGAAAGCTCCCAGGGAAGCCCTACATTCCACACTTGGTCAGGAGCCCCAGCTACACTTGTCAGCCCACATCTGGAGCACAGACCCCTGGTGGGCAAAGATCTGCCCCCAGAACCCAGCAGGCTCACAGGAGGCACTTGTAGATAAACAAGCAACTCCTGGTGCGGGGACAGCAGTCATGCCCCAGTGTGTTTCTTCCAGGTGTGTCCACCCATCACAAGGAAACCCCTGTCCCCCTTTGCGCAGGAGCAGGCTCCCTATGTGCGGGAGCGGTCTGGTGCGAGGGAAACTTGTGAGGGACTCTGTACACAGCTCCCTCGACAGCCACCACTCATCTTGAGGATTGTATGCAAATCTGATCAGAGCTCCCAAGGGAGTTTTGGGGCAACTGGGTAATTAACAAAATGGAACTCAGAACATGACAGTGCGGTCGGGGGGCAAGCCCCGCTGGGCCATCCCCATCCAGCCCCCACACCTGCTGTGGGGGTGCTGCCTTGTCAGCCACTTCTACATCCTTCCTGGTCTCTGCACTTCCACACTGGGACCTCCTCTTGTTCCCTGTCACCACCACATCTGCGAGCAGACAATCGGACCTCTCCCCATTCACCATGGGTCCCTCTTCAAGATCCTCGATATTTATCTGGAAAAACAAGGCAGAGAACAAAGAAATTGCATGTGTATCCTAGTCACAAACAGTGATGCTGAGACGCGCATCAGAACAGAAGGGAGGTGGTGGGCGGCACGTCCAAGGTCACTCATGAGGTCGTGAGGGGAGGAGCCCCATGTCTGTGTGCTTTTCAGTGAGCCCCAGAGAACACTGGCGCGCTGGGAGGCTGTCTGGGATGTCTCTCTTTGGAGCCTCCATGAAGAATCCCCCAACAGTGAGCGTCTCCTTTACAGACCACAGCATGGGGCCGGCATCACTGAGTATGTGCGCTCGGTGGTGCATGAGCTCCTACATGGACTGCAGCTTGGCTCATCGAGCAGAGCAAAGGGATAGGAGACTGGGTGGGAAGGGGCCCAAGGACAGAGCTGTCTACAGCCTCTGTAACAGAAATAATACCCCACACAAGGGGCCTCATATAGTGGTGAAACAAAGAGCTACACTCACAACACGTGGGAATCTTCAGGAACACAATGTTGAGGGGACCAAGTCCAAGAAGACTCACACACAACACACACACTCACGAGCTCATGCATACTCATCACACACTAAACAGACACGCGCGAGCTCATATATACTCACTTGTACACTAAACACACACTCACAAGCTCACGCATACTCACACACACAGTAAACACACACTCTCTGGAGGAGAGACAGGACATGGGAGAGGTGCAGAGGTGCGTACAAGTAACGGGAAAAGTTCTGGCCCTCAGCTAGGAAAGAATAAACAAAAGAGGCCAGCATGGCAGTCACAACCCAATGGGGTGCAACCATGCCCAGTATGAACAAACACTGCATATTCAATTCAGGGCAGCTGGGAAAACAGAAAGCTCAAAAACAAAAATAACACCTACTCTACCCCCCCAACCCTGAGACAATTTTAAAAACAAAACTGGGATCACACTGCACTTAAGTGACTTTCACGGACTGTCCCACTGGGCCAGTTTTATTTTTAAAATTGTCTCAGTGAAGCTGGAGCTCATTTAAGTCAGCAGACCTGGAGGGCCTCTGCTACTGAAGAGCATGAATTCGGACGGTCGCTGAGAACAAAGAGCAGAAGGGGTCCTGGCTCTCAAGGAATGGAGCGAGAGCACACTGAAGCGACGTCTGCTGAAGCCCCCCTCTCATGCTCCCAGACCCCTCGATTTGTTATGCTCCCAATGGAAAGAATCCAACTACCAAGTAAAAATGAACTACTTTCAACATCACCTCAAGAAACAGCCAGAAAAGAACAGAGGAAATCAGCCAGACACACATACCGAAGTTTCTCCAGCAGAGTTTTTCTTGTTTTTTTGTTTCTTTTTCTTCTTTCGGAATTTGCAACTTGCATTAAACTAATAGAGAGAGCTTATTTTAATCAATGGAAAAACAACAAAATCTTAAAATCCTGAGAACCAAAGCAGCAAGGAACATGAGGCATGGAAACGGGAACGCAGGCCCGGCACCCCATGCTGAGTGTCCGCTGAGCTCGCCTTCTTCCAGCGCTGCCCCCCACCCCCTGCTACTGGACTCCAGTCTCACCTGTCTCGCTCACACCTTCTCGACCTGACCCAGGGCCATCTACCACCTGCCCTTTGCCTCTGTCTCAGCCGTCAACCACTTCCCCGCCTCACTCAGATCCCCAGAGCCCCCACACCCGTGGTTCTTCTGCCTCAGCACCTCATGCCATCACCCGGTACCCTCTTGCCATCACAATGTGAAAGCTCCCAGGGAAGCCCTACATTCCACACTTGGTCAGGAGCCCCAGCTACACTTGTCAGCCCACATCTGGAGCACAGACCCCTGGTGGGCAAAGATCTGCCCCCAGAACCCAGCAGGCTCACAGGAGGCACTTGTAGATAAACAAGCAACTCCTGGTGCGGGGACAGCAGTCATGCCCCAGTGTGTTTCTTCCAGGTGTGTCCACCCATCACAAGGAAACCCCTGTCCCCCTTTGCGCAGGAGCAGGCTCCCTATGTGCGGGAGCGGTCTGGTGCGAGGGAAACTTGTGAGGGACTCTGTACACAGCTCCCTCGACAGCCACCACTCATCTTGAGGATTGTATGCAAATCTGATCAGAGCTCCCAAGGGAGTTTTGGGGCAACTGGGTAATTAACAAAATGGAACTCAGAACATGACAGTGCGGTCGGGGGGCAAGCCCCGCTGGGCCATCCCCATCCAGCCCCCACACCTGCTGTGGGGGTGCTGCCTTGTCAGCCACTTCTACATCCTTCCTGGTCTCTGCACTTCCACACTGGGACCTCCTCTTGTTCCCTGTCACCACCACATCTGCGAGCAGACAATCGGACCTCTCCCCATTCACCATGGGTCCCTCTTCAAGATCCTCGATATTTATCTGGAAAAACAAGGCAGAGAACAAAGAAATTGCATGTGTATCCTAGTCACAAACAGTGATGCTGAGACGCGCATCAGAACAGAAGGGAGGTGGTGGGCGGCACGTCCAAGGTCACTCATGAGGTCGTGAGGGGAGGAGCCCCATGTCTGTGTGCTTTTCAGTGAGCCCCAGAGAACACTGGCGCGCTGGGAGGCTGTCTGGGATGTCTCTCTTTGGAGCCTCCATGAAGAATCCCCCAACAGTGAGCGTCTCCTTTACAGACCACAGCATGGGGCCGGCATCACTGAGTATGTGCGCTCGGTGGTGCATGAGCTCCTACATGGACTGCAGCTTGGCTCATCGAGCAGAGCAAAGGGATAGGAGACTGGGTGGGAAGGGGCCCAAGGACAGAGCTGTCTACAGCCTCTGTAACAGAAATAATACCCCACACAAGGGGCCTCATATAGTGGTGAAACAAAGAGCTACACTCACAACACGTGGGAATCTTCAGGAACACAATGTTGAGGGGACCAAGTCCAAGAAGACTCACACACAACACACACACTCACGAGCTCATGCATACTCATCACACACTAAACAGACACGCGCGAGCTCATATATACTCACTTGTACACTAAACACACACTCACAAGCTCACGCATACTCACACACACAGTAAACACACACTCTCTGGAGGAGAGACAGGACATGGGAGAGGTGCAGAGGTGCGTACAAGTAACGGGAAAAGTTCTGGCCCTCAGCTAGGAAAGAATAAACAAAAGAGGCCAGCATGGCAGTCACAACCCAATGGGGTGCAACCATGCCCAGTATGAACAAACACTGCATATTCAATTCAGGGCAGCTGGGAAAACAGAAAGCTCAAAAACAAAAATAACACCTACTCTACCCCCCCAACCCTGAGACAATTTTAAAAACAAAACTGGGATCACACTGCACTTAAGTGACTTTCACGGACTGTCCCACTGGGCCAGTTTTATTTTTAAAATTGTCTCAGTGAAGCTGGAGCTCATTTAAGTCACACTCACTTCCTGAAAAAAAAAAAAAATCTCATTTTTTGAGCCCCTTTCAGAAACTTGAGGCACTTGAAGAAATTCAAATTCATAACAAGCTGTATGGCAAGCTAAACTTCAACTGAAACAAGAGCACAGAACTCTGCCCAAAGGTGGGCACTTTGGTGGCACACACTCAGCTCTCTTTAGTGGAAGTTTTACAGACGGCACACACCTCGCTCACAGGTTTTGCCCACTATCTATCACTTTCGTGAGTTTCAAGGCCTCACGTGGGTAACAATTTCGAAGGGTTCTTGTCCACTACACACACACACTCTGGTATTCTACAGGAGAGGCCTTGGTGAACACTTCAGTGAATACTGGATAAGAGTTTCATTTTTGGAGGGGAGGGGGAGAGGAACCTGATTTTTACCTGGGATACAATTTACATATTTCGCAATGGATGTACTGAAAAATGAGTTTCGGCAATTGTATAGGTAAGGAACCTACAATCTTACCAAGATACGTTCTAAAGTGGCTGTGCAACCCTACACTCCCCCCAGAGAGCTCTGTCCAGCCTCAGCATCTGGCATTGCCAGTCTTTCTAATTTTGGCCATTCTAGTGGGTGTAGAGTGGTATTCTATGACAACTTTAATTTGCTATCTTTGCTCACGATGTCGAGCACCTTCTCAGGTGCGTACTGGCTATTCTTCCTGTGCGTTCAAATCTTCTGCATATTTTAAAACTAGGCTGACTTAATACTGATGAGTAAGAGCTGCTCACATGCTCTGAGTACAAGTCCCTTAACATACATGTCTTGTGATCTCTTTCTCTGTACCTTGCCTATTCATTTCCTTAACATCTGATAAGCAAAAAAGCATTAACTCTCTGTTAAGTCCACGTTCTCAACCCCTTCTGTTCAGTCAGTACTTCCTGGACCTAGCCTAAGAGATCCCAGCTTATCCCGCAGCAACAAAGATGTTCTTGGATGTTTCCTTCTAAAAGCATTATAGCTTTAGTATGTAGACCTATGGTCCATCTTGAATACATTACTGGGGGGTATGGGTTGAAGTTCATTTTTTTTCCATACGGCTAGTTACTCTGGTGTTGTTTGTTACACAGATTTTGCCTCCTCACTGAACTGCCATTGAAACAAAGCAACTAAGTGTAGGAGCATGAAGGTCCTTCTGAGTTCTCGACTCTCGTGCTGGCCTACCTGCCCGTGTTCAGGCTGGCACCACACCCCCCGAGCTGCACACTCTCAGTGGCTGCTCTAGTTTACAAGCTTCCTCATCGCTTTCCAGGGAACCCAAGAGCCTACGGCAGAGCTTTTTCATTCTGTCTTCTTCCTTATTACTAGGCTGTCACCTACTCCACTGGTAGATGCTATAAGCCCAACAATACACTATTATTTTTGCTTTAAATATCCAATTATCTTTTGAAGGTATTTAAAAATTGGGAAATGTGGTATATTTATTCTAATATTTACCATTTCCAGCACCGCTCATTCACATACATCTGCATTTCCATCTGGCATTACTTCTCTTCACAATGAAAAAAATCTCCTTTAAGGCTTCTCTTAGTTTAGGCCTTCTGACAATGACTTTCTCGGCTTTCATCTATATGAAAATATCTTTTTGATTTCACGTTCATGTTTGAAAGCTATTTCACTGGATATACAATGCCAGGTTACATTTTTTCTTTCGGCCCTTAAAGATGTCACCCTACTGCCCTCGGGCCCACTCTGTGCCTGCAGAGGAGTCAGGGACCATTTGTCACCGCTGCTCCGTAGACAGCTTGTCCCTTCTCTCCACCTACTTTGATGATTTTTCTTCGCCCCTGGTTTTCAGCAATTTGATTAAGATTTACCATGTTATGGTTTTCTTTATGTGATTGCCTAGAGTTTGCTGAACTTCTTGGATCTGTGGGGTTTCACTTTATGTCAAATTTACTGCTTTATCAGTTATTTTTTTCTGCTCAATTTCCCTCTTGTTCTACTACCCCGACTGCAGGTATAACAGACTGCTTGATATTGTCCTATAGGGCACTGATACTCCTTTTCCTACCATTTTTTTCCCTTTTCTGGACAGTTTCTTTGCCCTAACTTCAAGATCACTAATCTTTTCTTCTCTAGTGTCAAATCTGCTATTAAGACCCTCAAGGAAATTATTCATTTGGGATATTTTTATTTTCAAGTTCTAGAATTTGATTTTTATAATTTCCATTTCTCTACTGAGATTCCCTGTATTTTCCCTCATTATGTTCAGGACTTTCTTTAAATCCTTGAATGTACTCATCTGCTATCTTAGGTTTGTATCTAATTTTACCATCTGTAATTTCTGGGTTTGTTTCTCCTGATTTTTCTCTGGGTTGTGTGTCACATTTTCCTGCCTCTTTGCATGTGTGGGAAATTCCTAGTGTGTACCAGACATCACAGTGCAACACTGTTGAATGACTGGTTTTGTCTTTTTCCTTAATAGAACGTTGAAATTTGTTCAGGCAGGTAGTTTACTTAAATGTCAGCACGATCCCTTCAAACCTTATTTTTAAACTTCCTTAAGACAGATCCAGAGCATTCTTTATGGTAGGGTTACTTTAGTCCCACTCCTAAGGAGGGGCCTTTTTGGAGCCTCTGCTGACACCTGGACTTTTCAGGGTAGCCCTTCCACTTGGGCTGGTCAGAGATGAAGGTTTCCCACACGCTGTGAGCTCCAGTGGCAGCCAGTCTCCTAGCTCTCTGGGAGCTGTTCTTCCCCCGTCATTTTCTTTCCCCAGCACAACTTTGCACTGAGCCAAGGACTCAAAGCAAACATCTGGAACTCCTTCGCTCCAATACCCTGCCCCATAAACTCCAGCCTCCCCAGCGGACTTAAAATCTAATCTGTCTCCTGGGTTCAGTGTTCTCTTGGCATCTCCCCACTGAGCCACTAGCTGAAAGTGCCTCCAAGCAGGAAGCTTGATCAACGGGCTCACATGGATTGTTTCTCTTCTCTATGGGATCCCAAACCTGCAATGCTCATTGTCAACTACTGGAAAACAGTTAGCCTTTATATTTTGCTCGGTTTTATAGTCATTCGTGGCAAGAAAGATTCTCTAGTATGTTATTCTGCCATGGCTGGAAGCACAAATCTTACTTTTTACTCATCTATTGGTTGGTTTATTTAGAGATTGTTTTTGGATCTATATAAGCAGGCCTTTCAGTTAAGGGCCCATACAGGCCTCTTACTAAAAATGTTGCTGGGAAAAGAGAGTTGCTTTTCCCACTGAAAGAGGGAAGCCATTAAGACTGCATTACTGGAGGAGGTGGGTCTGCAGTCTACAGACAAAGCCCCGTCCATCTGTAGGTGACTGGCAGACACCTAAAAAGACTGCTGACATTATTTTTCAGTGTTCAAATAATCTCACAACTAGAATATAGATTCACAAATCTTTCTCTGCCCAGAGTAGCAATAACAAATGCCGACTTTGCTAAAGACAATCACAGACCTGAGGACAAAGAAATGACATGACATTATTTTAACCTCAAGAATTTTAGAAAATTATGGTAACCCCTGACCAAATCTGCCCTCAACCAGTAAAAACAGCTACGTGAGATGTAATGCCGTCTAGGTTTTGCTGCCTTTAAAACAAAGGATCAAAATCAACTGAGTAACAAAGACCTTAAAACCTTCAAAGATAACACACTGGCAAGTCATTATTCCACTCAAAGAGCAGCAACCTGGTCACTGAAATTTATTTTGGAAAAAGTCTGTTTTTCATTTAATTGCATAATTTAGACTTATTTCCATTGTTTCTGGGGAGTGGTCACTGTATCATATATGAAAACAGAGAAACATATAAATCTTTGCAAAAGATTGCTCTTAGTGGAAAAATTTTTCAATGCTGTAGAATACATTCTGGTAGTTTTAAGAAGTGAGTTTATGTGTTTTTTATCAGATTGTCAAAATAGCCCTTGATCCCCAAAATACTAGAAAGTTCTATTCTAACATAATTTTTAATGCTTGTACAGTATGTTACATTGTGAAACTCAAACCATACACTTACAACGGGTGCATTTATTATACATAAATTACACTTCAATGACGTTGATCTTTAAAAACCACTCTAAATGAAGTAGGAAAGATGATTTCTAATCTAAGGTCAAAGAAACTCACCCAAGAGCCAGTAATGGAAACACAGTCATGAAGTGACAAAGGAGGGTGTCTTTCTGCTTTGCATCCCTCTCCCTAGAAGAGCTCCACTGGCCCCAAGAAATGTCTCTAAGTAAACCGCTTAGGGTCATTTTTCTACTTAAGTTCTATTGCACCCTTCACTAAGTTTTCAACACCAACTAATATCTGTATTTGTTGAGTGCCGACCATGTGCCCAGCATGGGCTAAAGGCTGCATGTTAGTTCATTTCTTCCTCAGACAACCCCATGAGGTAAGATCATCCCCAATAAATAGGGAAACCAAAGCTTATGCTAGGCATCTTGTCCAAGTCCTCACAGTGGAGAAGGGGTAGAGACAGCATTCAAACCTAAGTCCTTCTGACTCCAAAGTATATGCTCTGACCACAGACAGTAACTGCGGGTCTTAGAGAAAATGCTGACTCATGCAGTAACTTTTGTGCATACATACTGGGTGCCAGACACTGCTCTGGATGGTGGTGGGGAAAACATTAGGGAACAGCAAAGTCTCTGTTCTTATCAAGTTTATACTTCAGCAGGGAGTAGAGATTTAAGCAAAACAAAATAGAACACAAAAGAAATTTGTACGGCATGTTCTGTGATAACCGAAAAAAAAAGAAAGATTGGAAGATGGGATGGGTGTGCGGGGGTAAATGTAATTTGCACTGCGTGTAGTGGGGAAGGCTGAGGCAACATGGGATACCTGAATGTGAGGCGTTCCAGGCAGAGGGGGACGGCCCAGGGAGATCATTGTAGCTAGAGTGGAGCAGCAAGATTGTAAGAAGGTGAGGTGGGTGAGCCTGGGCCCTGGGGGCTATGAAGGAAGGAGGGCAACAGACTGCAAAGGAACAGGAGCAGAAGAGGGATGGGTTAAGGACGGTGACAACACAGGTCAGAGGTGCTGGTCATACCCCAGGTGCTGAGCTTGGAGCCACCACAGGACTTTGCAACATTTGCTTATGGTGTGGAGAGGTTAGGGCTGCTGGCCTTGGCAATAGGAACAATGTCTCAGCAGAGACAGGGAAGGTTGAAGGAGGCAGTTGAGATGTCTGAGCTGGACGTATGAAACCCAAGATCAGGAGCTGGCAATGTCAATATGCTATCAGAAGTGGAACAGATACACAACCAGCAAAGTCCTAACATGACCAACATCACAAGGAGGTCCACATTAATATCCTTTTTCTCTATTCACACACCTAAGCAACTGCCATTTTTTAATTTCTCCTAAACACCCTGTCTTCTGTCCATTTATCCTCCTTCAGCAGGCATCAACTCTGCTTCAGAGACACATGCCATAGCGTGGTTACAAGCACAAGTTTTAAGTCACAAAGCATCATGACACAGCAGCATTCCCAAAATGTACAGCTGTCCTCAAAAAAAAACTGCTATTGTTGTGAAAGGCTAAATCTGGAGGGTCTGGAAAGGAGAAAATACCTGATAAGATGTCCATGAGAGTGACCAACCTCAGAACACTGTGGTTTCAGCCCATCAACAGGTGGGTGGAAAGAAGACTTGAGAGAGGTCAAGAAAGTGAGTGGGAAATTTACAGACGAAGCACAGGGGAGACACAATTGGCCACTGCCCTCGGCCATAGGAGCTGGGGGAGCCGGGTGCCCAGCACGCGGCAGCTGCTCGGGGTGCTCCCTCTCGTTCTGAGTGTGCCTGAAACTTTCCAAACAAAAAGTTAGAAAGAAAGGGATAAGAAACGGGACAGGGGAGAGGGGTTACTTTCTATTTAAGAATCAGAAGAGGTGGATGGAGAGGATGGACAAAGTGAAGAAGGCGCTGCAGTCCCATCTCCACCAGATTACAGGGTGGGGCTGGTCTACCTTAAGAGGGAAGGTCAGTGACCAAACCAACCTGCCAGGCGGCTGTCACACGCCCCACTATTTGATGATGGGTCCCTTAACTTGCCAACCTTATGTAAAGCAGGAGCAACTGCAAAAATCAAGGGATAACTTGAAAAGGGTCGCTGGTGTACCCATAGAATCCAGACCTACCATTCGGCAAACGGCCACCGAGTCCCTACGGTGCGCGGAACACACAGCGAAGGGGACACAAGGTGAGCAAACAACACCTGCCAGCACAGAGCGGCGGAGGTGCACAGCAAGACGAGGCACGCACGTGCGGCATTACAGACAGGGGCCGGCGCCACGGAGGCCTCGGCGTTCATGCCTTCCCTCCACACCTACTGGTTTTCCCTGCGCCAGACACCTGCTGCGCCGACAGCGAGCGGTGAGGCACCAAGGCCTGGCTCGGGAATTGAAAAGGAGAGCGCCAGTAAAGACCCTGCAAAAGCTTGGCGCAGAGCCGCCCAACCCCGAGATCTAGCCAAG